AGGGTCTCAAAGGTACAAATTGGGTTTTTTAGCCTTTACATACAGAGAAAGTGGTCTTCAATAATCTCATGAATGGTGGAGTCATACTTACGTTTCCTGTTGTGTGAGACAACGGGGTCATGACTGTATCTCCATACACCCATATTTGGCCAAATAGGTCTCACTCATTCTTTAGCCAACTTTGCATTTTTAATAAACGGTATCAAAGGTACAAGTTGAGTGTTTTAGCCTTTAGATACCGAGAAAGTGGTCTTCAATAATCTCATGAGTGCTGGAGTCATACTTAAGTTACTTCCCGTTGTGTGAAACCAAGGTGTCATGATTGTATCCCCATACACCCATATTTGGCCAAACAGGTCTCAGACATTCTGTAGCCAACTTTGCATTTTTAATAAAGCGTCTCAAAGGTAAGAGTTTGGTTCTTTAGTCTTTAGATACCAAGAAAGTGGTTTTCAATAATCTCATGAATGGTGGAGTCATACTTAGGTTCCCTGTTGTATGAGACAACGGGGTCATGACTGTATCTCCATACACCCATATTTGGCCAAACAGGTCTCAGTCATTCTGTAGCCAACTTTACATTTTTAATAAAGGGTCTCAAAGGTACAAGTTGGGTGTTTTAGCCTTTAGATACCGAGAAAGTGGTCTTCAATAATCTCATGAATGGTGGAGTCATACTTACGTTTCCTGTTGTATGAGACAAAGGGGTCATGACTGTATCTCCATACACCCATATTTGGCCAAACAGGTCTCAGTCATTCTGTAGCCAACTTTGCATTTTTAATAAAGGGTCTCAAAGTTACAAGTTGGGTGTTTTAGCCTTTAGGTACCCAGAAAGTGGTCTTCAATAATCTCATGAATTCTGGAGTCATACTTAAGTTTCCTTTTGTATGAGGCAAAGGGGTCATGAGTGTATCTCCATACACCCAAATTTGGCCAAACAGGTGTCTGTCATTCTGTAGCCAACTTTGCATTTTTAATAAAGGATCTCAAAGGTACAAGTTGGGTGTTTTAGCCTTTAGATACCGAGAAAGTGGTCTTCAATAATCTCATGAATGCTGGAGTCATACTTACGTTTCCTGTTGTATGAGATAAAGGGGTCATGACTGTAACTCTATACACCCATATTTTGCCAAACAGGTCTCAGTCATTCTGTAGCCAACTTTGCATTTTTGATAAAGGGTCTCAAAGTTACAAGTTGGGTGTTTTAGCCTTTAGGTACCCAGAAAGTAGTCTTCAATAATCTCATGAATTCTGGAGTCATACTTAAGTTTCCTTTTGTATGAGGCAAAGGGGTCATGACGGTATCTCAATACACCCATATTTGGCCAAACAGGTGTCTGTCATTCTGTAGCCAACTTTGCATTTTTAATAAAGGGTCTCAAAGGTACAAATTGGGTTTTTTAGCCTTTACATACAGAGAAAGTGGTCTTCAATAATCTCATGAATGGTGGAGTCATACTTACGTTTCCTGTTGTGTGAGACAACGGGGTCATGACTGTATCTCCATACACCCATATTTGGCCAAACAGGTCTCACTCATTCTTTAGCCAACTTTGCATTTTTAATAAACGGTATCAAAGGTACAAGTTGAGTGTTTTAGCCTTTAGATACCGAGAAAGTGGTCTTCAATAATCTCATGAATGCTGGAGTCATACTTAAGTTACTTCCTGTTGTGTGAAACCAAGGTGTCATGATTGTATCCCCATACACCCATATTTGGCCAAACAGGTCTCAGTCATTCTTTAGCCAACTTTGCATTTTTAATAAAGGGTCTCAAAGGTACAAGTTGGGTGCTTTAGCCTTTAGATACCGAGAAAGTGGTCTTCAATAATCTCAGGAATGGTGGAGTCATACTTACGTTTCCTGTTGTATGAGACAACGGGGTCATGACTGTATCCCCATACACCCATATTTGGCCAAACAGGTCTCAGTCATTCTGTAGCCAACTTTGCATTTTTAATAAAGCGTCTCAAAGGTACAAGTTGGGTGCTTTAGCCTTTAGATACCGAGAAAGTGGTCTTCAATAATCTCATGAATGGTGGAGTCATACTTACGTTTCCTGTTGTATGAGACAAAGGGGTCATGAGCTCCTCCCTTCCTCTCTCTTTCTGCACTCATTCATGTTCAATTAATGCATGTTACTAACTTCACTTCTTCCCCGGAGTTCTTGTGCTTTCTCGTCTCGCAGGTTCTTGTCGAACCTGGTGGAGCCTCCTGCCATGGTCCTGCTAGATTGCCATTGCCAATAATGTTGTTGCTGTGCACCTGTCTGTCTGTCTCTCGCTCTCTCTCTCTGTGCCTCTCTCTCTCTCTCTCTCTCACCCCAACTGGTCGAGACAGACGACCACCCATCTAGAGCCAGAGGATCTGTCCTAGGTTTCTGCCTTTTAACAGGCAGTTTTTCCTTGCCCTTGTTGCCAAGTGCTTGCTCATGGTGGTACTGTTGGGTCTCTGTAATTAATGTTTTAAAGAGTTCGGTCTAGACCTGCTCTTTTTGAAAAGTGTCTTGAGATAACTTCTGTTATGAATTGGCGCTGTACAAATAAAATTGAATTGAATTGAATTGAATTGAATTTAATGACTATATCTCCATACACCCATATTTGGCCAAACAGTTCTCAGTCACTCTGTAGCCAACTTTGCATTTTCAATAAAGGGTCTCAAAGGTACAAGTTGGGTGTTTTAGCCATAAGAAACCGAGAAAGTGGTCTTCAATAATCTCATGAATGCTGGAGTCATACTTACGTTTCCTGTTGTATGAGACAACAGGTTCATGACTGTATCTCCATACACCCATATCTGGCCAAACAGGTCTCAGTCATTCTTTAGCCAACTTTGCCTTTTTAATAAAGGGTCTCAAAGGTACAAGTTGGGTGTTTTAGCCTTTAGATACCGAGAAAGTGGTCTTCAATAATCTCATGAATGGTGGAGTCATACTTAAGTTTCCTGTTGTATGAGATAACGGGGTCATGACTGTATCTCCATACACCCATATTTGGCCAAACAGGTCTCAGTCATTCTGTAGCCAACTTTGCATTTTTAATAAAGGGTCTCAAAGTTACAAGTTGGGTGTTTTAGCCTTTAGGTACCCAGAAAGTGGTCTTCAATAATCTCATGAATTCTGGAGTCATACTTAAGTTTCCTTTTGTATGAGGCAAAGGGGTCATGAGTGTATCTCCATACACCCAAATTTGGCCAAACAGGTACCTGTCATTCTGTAGCCAACTTTGCATTTTTAATAAAGGATCTCAAAGGTACAAGTTGGGTGTTTTAGCCTTTAGATAACGAGAAAGTGGTCTTCAATAATCTCATGAATTCTGGAGTCATACTTAAGTTACTTCCTGTTGTGTGAAACAAAGGTTTCATGACTGTATCTCCATACACCCATATGGAGATACAGTCATGACAGAATGACTGAGACCAAACAGGTCTCAGTCATTCTGTAGCCAACTTTGCATTTTTATTAAAGGGTCTCAAAGGTACAAGTTGGGTGCTTTAGCCTTTAGATACCGAGAAAGGGGTCTTCAATAATCTCATGAATGCTGGAGTCATACTTAAGTTTCCTTTTGTATGAGACAACAGGGTTATGACTGTATCTCCATACACCCATATTTGGCCAAACAGGTCTCAGTCATTCTTTAGCCAACTTTGCCTTTTTAATAAAGGGTCTCAAAGGTACAAGTTGGGTGTTTTAGCCTTTAGATACCGAGAAAGTGGTCTTCAATAATCTCATGAATGGTGGAGTCATACTTAAGTTTCCTGTTGTATGAGATAACAGGGTCATGACTGTATCTCCATACACCCATATTTGGCCAAACAGGTCTCAGTCATTCTGTAGCCAACTTTGCATTTTTAATAAAGGGTCTCAAAGTTACAAGTTGGGTGTTTTAGCCTTTAGGTACCCAGAAAGTGGTCTTCAATAATCTCATGAATTCTGGAGTCATACTTAAGTTTCCTTTTGTATGAGGCAAAGGGGTCATGAGTGTATCTCCATACACCCAAATTTGGCCAAACAGGTACCTGTCATTCTGTAGCCAACTTTGCATTTTTAATAAAGGATCCCAAAGGTACAAGTTGGGTGTTTTAGCCTTTAGATAACGAGAAAGTGGTCTTCAATAATCTCATGAATTCTGGAGTCATACTTAAGTTACTTCCTGTTGTGTGAAACAAAGGTTTCATGACTGTATCTCCATACACCCATATGGAGATACAGTCATGACAGAATGACTGAGACCAAACAGGTCTCAGTCATTCTGTAGCCAACTTTGCATTTTTATTAAAGGGTCTCAAAGGTACAAGTTGGGTGCTTTAGCCTTTAGATACCGAGAAAGGGGTCTTCAATAATCTCATGAATGCTGGAGTCATACTTAAGTTTCCTTTTGTGTGAGACAACAGGGTTATGACTGTATCTCCATACACCCATATTTGGCCAAACAGGTCTCAGTCATTCTCTAGCCAACTTTGCATTTTTAATAAAGGGTCTCAAAGGTACAAGTTGGGTGTTTTAGCCTTTAGATACTGAGAAAGTGGTCTTCAATAATCTAATGAATGGTGGAGTCATACTTACGTTACTTCCTGTTGTGTGAAACAAAGGTGTCATGACTGTATCTCCATACACCCATATTTGTATGTATAAGTATGACTCCAGCATTCATGAGAATAATGAAGACCACTTTCCCAGTATCTAAAGGCTAAAACACCCAACTTGTACCTTTGAAACCGTTTATTAAAAATGCAAAGTTGGCTACAGAATGACTGAGACCTGTTTGGCCAGATATGGGTGTATGGAGATACAGTCATGACACCTTTGTTTCACACAACAGGAAGTAACTTAAGTATGACTCCAACATTCATGAGATTGTTGAAGACCACTTTCTCAGTATCTAAAGGCTAAAACACCCAACTTTTACCTTTGAAGCCCTTTCAAAGACTTTAAACAAACATGAATTCTTTCTCAAAAACTTTTATGTATTCAAGAACGTTTATTTTGTTCTCAACAACGTGGCACTTGGATGTCCTTTCCTCCTCTTTAATCAATGAGGGCCAGGTCCACACATTTCACATAAGTTTGAGTAAAGAGGCTGAGACAAACTGAACAAACATGAAATTATCAAAAACATATTTAGGAACTTCACTGTGTCCTCATGGATGTGGCTCCTGGGCATCCTGTTCTCCTTTGTGACCTAATCTGAACTGTGTTGAGGTAAATTTTCACATATAAACCTGTCTAATATTTATGTTATCCTTGAATACAGAACTTTAAGGGATTCTTCATCCTTGGACCTTTCTTCCTCTGAAGAACATGGCTCCTGAAAGGATGCAAAAGGATGTGGTTTTCCAACATATCTGTAATGTAGTAAACAGCACTAAAACATTCGTCATACTGCTCACCTTTGTTTCACAATGCTGTCGTGACCTCCACGTGGGATGCATTTTTCTCATTTTCTGTGTGCAAGGAACATGGCTCCTTAAGATGGGGGGACAGACAGATATTGGTTCATGTATGACTTGATTTCATGCACACCAAATTAATCCAGTTTACTTCCACTCACCTGTCCTTCAACATCAATCTCATCTTCTGTGTGCAAGGAATGTGGCTCCTTAAGATGGAGAACAGACAGATATTGGTTCATGTATGACTTGATTTCATGCACACAAAATTAATCCAGTTTACTTCCACTCACCTGTCCTACAACATCAATCTCATCTTCTGTGTGCAAGGAATGTGGCTCCTTAAGATGGAGAACAGACAGATATTGGTTCATGTATGACTTGATTTCATGCACACAAAATTAAACCAGTTTACTTCCACTCACCTGTCCTTCAACATCCATCTCATCTTCTATGTACAAGGAACGTGGCTCCTTAAGATGGAGAACAGACAGATATTGGTTCATGTATGACTTGATTTCATGCACATAAAATTAAACCAGTTTACTTCCACTCACCGGTCCTTCAGTATCAGCCTGATCTCTGTTTCCCATGGATCCATTGTCCTCTGATTTTTCTATCTGTGAGGAGCACAAATCCTAAAGAGTAGATTTTGTGATTTAGAGGTCATGGACAGAAATCCTCTAAAAAATAACTATACTGTCTGTACACATCACTAAACCAAGCTTAATACTCCTCGCCTTGGCTTCAATACAGGCTGTCAGACCCTCCTCAATAGATGCATTCTTCTCATTGTCCTCTGCAGAGGTGGACAGCACCTGGAGACAAATCATGGGATTTTTTTAATTCAAGGGACAGATAGATAGATGTTGGGTTTTACTCACATTTAAAATGCTGAGCTGGTCCTGTTATTCAACAGAATTACATTCAAAGGTTTCCAGCTGCCACACTATGAAATGTATACTAACTACTGGTTTTGCTCCTTAATGACTAGATGACTCCAGAGTTTACAGTGATATACAGCATCCTAAATAGCATGCAGTTAATCATAAAACAGAGACATGAATATGTCCGCTACTCACAGGGTAGGTAGGCTCCATTACCTCATACGGGTTTTCTTCTTCCTCACACCTGAGCTGCAATGATGAGCGCAGTATGAAAGAATATTCTGTTGGCACAAAAGACCAAAACACAGATTGCAGATTTCTTTAGTTGAATCTTCCTCACCTGTTCTATTCTTATGGGCCAATAGATGCATGAGTTTGTCTGAGCCCATGGATTCCTCCTTAACCTTCCATGCCTTTTTCTGCAGCGGTAGTAAATGACTGGGGTGAGCGTTACAGTGATGAGCACAATCACAGCAACAATAGCTCCTGCTGTAGTTCCTGCTGTAGGTCCATGTCCATCAATAACTGTTGATGGAGATGTGATATTACATACATCAACAAAGCGGTTTCCGCTTCGCTTTTTCCATCTGTATTTAAGTGGTGGAGTGCCTTGTGAGGATTTGCATCTGAGCCTTATATTTGTATCTAACACAGCTTCATCATCCATGTAACATACCGGCTTGTCTGGCCTCTCCATTACAACCAGAATGTCTTTAATCTGTTCTCTAGCTGACTTTCTCACCTTACATTGGTATGTTCCAGAATCTGTAAGCTTAAGGTCAGTGATGCTTAGAGAAGCATCCTGTTCTTTAAAGGGGCATATAAATTATTATGAATGATACTTTGACTATACCGGAGTATACGTTTTTCATCTCCCTGCCTGATTGGTGGCACAATGTTCCACTCTATGTCCAAATTTTCCAAATCCTCAGAATCAAGGGTGAACTGACAGTTAAGAGACACATTTCTATCTCTAGTTCCATAATAGAGATCATTGTCAGGTGTTATTTTTAGAGAATAAGCTTGTTCTGGGGTAAGAGCGCATAATTTCATCATGGCAAAAATCCATAACTCTGTGAAATATCCTGGGAGGCAGCAATGTTGATGCACAAGCATGATGACATACTTGGATTGGTGGGCCTCAGGTTGCACATCCTGGGTTTCACTGTAAAACATAAGGGTTATGGTTAGGGCAGGACTGTATATGGGAACATACATGTTAAACATGGTGCAGGAAAACTGATCTGTTGCAACATATTAGACCTCCTCACACCAGTTTGGCTGAGAGAGTCAAAGGTATCCTCTTAGCCCCCAGACCCCATACATACACAATATAATTTTCATGTCATATGGTGTTGATTACAAGAATGTGAGATTTTTTAAAATACCCTTTCTCCTGTGATGTAAAGGAAATAATGCCTACAAATATCACAACTTTCAACAAATTTTTTTGAAAGAAATCCACAAAAAATTTTAAGCTACAACAATCACCAAAAGTCCACAAAATCCCAGGGGGAGTGGTAATAAATACACAAATATTCTAAAGCATATTCTGTAAATTATGCAATACATTTTTTATTGATTATGTCAAATGAGATCTATTTGACCCATGTTAAATATGGAGAGACAGCTTTACAGTAAGTTGGGTTCATAATTGCCACAGCTCTATAATATTTACAGTAGTGTGCTACTTAATAGCAGGACACATTGTATCAGACTTTTTACAAGTTTTAATATTTTACTGCAAAAGTGGGTCCTCAGTTATTACTATACAGACAAACTGGACAGATTCACTTGCAGAACTTTTACCTCCACCTCTGCCAATCATAGCTCAGAGATTACTAAAGTAAAACTTTATCTACAAAAGAGATCAAAGTGGGCCACAAATCCACATCTGAACAGCATTATAGCAAGAAAAAGAGTAAAAGTGTGGTGTAATTGTGCAGCGTTACAGCAATGTAACAGAAAAAGGAAATAGAAAGTGGGCTATAAACCATAAATTGACTCTTACCTGCAGAAGAGCGGAAATCTTTCAAAACCAGTGCAGATTTAGCAGAACATAATGTAGGATGATGCAGAAACTTTAAGCCAGTTCAGAAAATCCACATGACTGACACACTGGAGCAGCCAATCAGTGCAGTCATTAACTTTTCAGCCAATCAGAGCAGACCCATATCCTCCGTGTGTGAAGGACAGGAAGAGAGCAAAAGTTGAGGAGGAATCATGGGTGGAGGTGTGGCAGCAACCAGCAATCAGGTAAAATCCAAAAATACTGACATGTTGGATATCTGCAGGGCTGCCAAGTTTCAGAAAATGACAAGAGTGAGACTCGAGTGACAGGACGCGTTCGGCCGGTGACCTGTCCTCACCTCCATGCCAGCTTATGGAAGTTTTTCTGTGCCATCTGTGTTTGAATATGAATTTCTAAGATTGAATTTTTTCAGCATCAAAATCAGACTTTGAATTTTAAAACCATCAAATTTCTGGCACTGGAATTTTTTTGCCTGTGATTTTTTGTCAATGTTGAAATAAATTCAGTGTAAAAAAAATCAATGTCTCAAAAAATTCAGTTTTTCAAAATTCGACATGTAAACATAAACAGAAATTCAACATAACAAAATATTAAATGTCAAAAAATTCAACTTAAAAAAATTCAGTGTCGAAAGAACGAGACTCACGTCCGGGTAACCAGTGAGAAGCAATCGATCCCTGTCTCGATTCTTCATTCACAACCTGATGACACAGACACCGGCATAAATAGCAGCATAAATAGGATTCCTCTTGTATCAACTGTCAAATCAGATGACGGATATCTGTCATTCTTGTTTGCCTAACAACAGCGGGTGAGAGTGATCAGATTCACACGCACACACAGGCACACTAGCACGCGCCCACTCTCAGCGCAACAGACACACGCATTTAGACGTACCAGTCCCTAGGAAAAAAAAAAAGCCATACCATACTCAAAAGGTAGAGCGAGTTGTCCAATTCAATTCAATTCAATTCAATTTTATTTGTATAGCGCCAATTCATAACAGAAGTTATCTCAGGACACTTTTCAAATAGAGCAGGTCTAGACCGAACTCTTTAAAACATTAATTACAGAGACCCAACAGTACCACCATGAGCAAGCACTTGGCGACAAGGGCAAGGAAAAACTGCCTGTTAAAAGGCAGAAACCTAGGACAGATCCTCCGGCTCTAGGTGGGTGGTCGTCTGTCTCGACTTATAGCTTATAGTTATAAGCTATTGGTTAATAAGTTATATAGCTTAATAGTTTATAGCTGAGAAGATGATGTTTGTGGTATGTATTGTTTGTCTGCAATTTGTTTGTTTTGTTTATAACACTTGTACCACAGCAGGTGCCTTTGTTAATGAGGCACAAGTCTACATATTTGATATAATTGTGTGTATACATACAAGTGTATATGTATATATAAGAAAATGTCAATAAATATATTGTTAAAAAAAGATGTGTTGGGTCTATACTGTGATGTTGGATATGACCAATATCTCATGTCTCGTCTCATCATGTCTGTATAATCCACTTGTGATAAAGGAATTAATATAGAGTTGTTGGGTTTATACTGCAATATTGGATCTGACCAATATCTCTGTATGGACCCACCAACTCTGTATTAGTCCCTTATAATTTTGTAGTCGTGCTTCTTCTGCTAAAGTGTCATCCTCCTCCTACCTAAGACTTTTTGTGAAAGTGCTTAAGGGACTTTTGCATGCAAACATTAACACACTTAACATGCTGGTAGAATTTAGGGAGTGCTACCTTTAAAGTCTGCATGATTAAAATCCCCTGCTATGATATTCACGGCATCAGGATACATGCTCTGCTTATTGGTAATGCTTGTAGACCCTGTCTGTGAATGTTCTCATTCATCCAGGTCATAGTTATCTTAAGGAAATTAAATCAAATGCAACTGGACTTGGTTATGTCTTTGAAGACGTTTCACCTCTCATCGAAGAGGCTTCATCAGTTCATGTTCCCTTGACTAGGCAAGGGAACATGAACTGACTGTAATAGACGCTCCCTTACTGTTTCCAAAGCCTCCATAGTTGGAATACAGGTGAACAAAGTCGCATCATAGAATACCACGGTTTCATCAGGATCCATTTTTAGATTTCGGACTTTCAATTTTCAATTTTATTTATTTGTATAGCGCCAATTCATAACAGAAGTTATCTCAGGACACTTTTCAAATAGAGCAGGTCTAGACCGAACTCTTTAACATTAATTACAGAGACCCAACAGTACCACCATGAGCAAGCACTTGGCGACAAGGGCAAGGAAAAACTGCCTGTTAAAAGGCAGAAACCTAGGACAGATCCTACGGCTCTAGGTGGGTGGTCGTCTGTCTCGACCAGTTGGGGTGAGAGAGAGAGAGAGAGAGAGAGAGAGAGAGGCAGAGAGAGAGAGAGCGAGAGACAGACAGACAGGTGCACAGCAACAACAGTATTGGCAACGGCAATCTAGCAGGACCATGGCAGGAGGCTCCACCAGGATCGACAAGAACCTGCGAGACGAGAAAGCAAAAGAACTCCGGGGAACAAGTGAAGTTAGTAACATGCATTAATGGAACATGAATGAGTGCAGAAAGAGAGAGGAAGGGAGGAGCTCAGTGCACCATGGGAAATCCCCCGATAGTCTAGGCCTATAGCAGCATAACTAAGGGATGGTTCAGGACTCACCTGATCCAGCCCTAACTATAAGCTTTATCAAAGAGGAATGTCTTAAGCCTACTCTTGAATGTGGTGAGGGTGTCTGCCTCCCGAACCACAAATGGAAGCTGGTTCCACAAGAGAGGAGCTTGGTAACTGAAGGCTCTGGCTCCTGTTCTACTTTTAGAGACTATAGGAACCACAAGTAGCCCAGCATTCAGAGAACGTAGTGTTCTAGAGGGGTAATAGGGTACTATGAGCTCTTTAAGATATGAAGGGGCCTGACCATGAAGAGCTTTATAGGGGAGGAGGAGGATTTTAAATTCAATTCTACATTTTACAGGGAGCCAATGCAGAGAAGCTAGTACAGGAGAGATGTGATCTCTTTTTCTAGTTCCTGTCAGTACTCGTGCTGCAGCGTTCTGAATTAATTGGAGCGTTTTAATGGACTTATTGGGGCAACCTGATAATAAAGAGTTGCAGTAATCCAGCCTTGAAGTAACAAATACATGGATTAGTTTTTCTGCATCTGTCTGTGATAGGATGTGTCTAATTTTTCTAATATTACGTAAATAAAAGAAGGCAGTCCTAGAGGTCTGCTTTATGTGGGAGTTAAATGACAAATCCTGATCAAAGATAACTCCAAGATTCCTGACAGTGGTTCTAGAGGCCAAGTTAATGCCATCTAGAGTCACTATATCTTTAGACAGTGAGTCTCTAAGGTTTTTGGGGCCAAGAACAAGAGTTTAACATCAGAAAATTGCAGGTCATCCAGGATTTTATGTCCTTAAGACATGTTTGTAATTTAGATAATTGATTAATTTCATTGGGCTTGATTGATAGATATAACTGCGTATCATCTGCATAACAGTGAAAGTTAATGGAGTGATTCCTAATAATGTTGCCTAAAGGGAGCATATATAAAGTAAATAGTATTGGTCCAAGTACAGAACCTTGTGGAACTCCATGACTAACTGTAGTATTTATTGAAGATTCATCGTTAACATGTACAGACTGCGAGCGATCTGATAAATATGACTTAAACCAGCTTAGTGCGGTTCCTTTAATGCCAATTTGATGCTCAAGTCTCTCTAAAAGAATATTATGGTCAATGGTGTGAAATGCAGCACTAAGATCTAATAATACATTACAGAGACAAGTCCATTGTCAGAAGCAGTCAGAAGGTCATTATTAACTTTAACCAGAGCTGTCTCTGTGCTATGATGAACTCTAAATCCTGACTGAAAATCCTCAAATAAACTATTGTTATGTAGAAATTCACACAACTCTTTGGCGACTACTTTCTCCAGAATCTTAGAGAGGAAGGGGAGGTTAGAAATTGGTCTATAGTTGGCTAAAACCTCTGGGTCAAGAGTGGACTTTTTAAGAAGGGGTTTAATTACAGCTACTTTAAAGGACTGTGGTACATATCCTGATAATAAAGAAAGATTAATCCAGTAAAGAAGTGCTAATTAAGGGAACAACTTCTTTAAGCAGCCTAGTTGGGATCGGGTCTAATAGATAGGTTGATGGCTTCGATGAAGAAATGATTGAAGTTAACTGATGAAGATCGATAGCAGAAAAACAGTCTAAATATATATCTAAGTTTACATTGACAGAAGTCTCTGAACTTGGAGAGTCACTGGTAACTGTTGATGGCAGTTGGTGATTAATTTTTTCTGTAATAGTAATAATTTTATTATAGAAGAAGCTCATGAAGTCATTGCTACTTAAGTTTATGGGGATATGTGGCTCAATAGAGCTGTGACTCTCTGTCAGCCTGGCTACAGTGCTAAAGAGGAACCTAGGGTTATTCTTATTTTCTTCTATTAGTGCTGAGTAATAGGCTCCTCTGGCATTACGGAGGGCCTTTCTATAAGTTTTAAGATTATCTTGCCAATTTGAGCGATATTCTGATAATTTGGAAGAGTGCCATTTCCTTTCAGATTTCCTAGCTATTTGTTTTAACTGGTGGGTTTGGTGGTTATACCAAGGTGCTAGTCTCCTATGTTTTAATAATTTCCTTTTTATAGGAACGATAGAGTCTGATGTTGATCGTAGTGAGCCTGTAGCACTATCGACAAGATTATCAATTTCAGAGGGACTAAAGTCGTTATAGGATTCTGTTAAATTCAGACATGGCATTGAATTAAACAAGGAATCTCCTCCTTAAATTTAGCTACAGCACTGTCAGATAGGCATCTGCTGTAGGAAGTTTTGCCTAATGGCTTACAATAATAGTATGAATTCAAAAGTTATTAAATAATGGTCAGATAGGAAAGGATTATGTGGGAAGACTATTAAATGTTCAATATCAATGCCATATGATAAAACAAGGTCAAGAGTGTGATTAAAACAATGAGTTGGTTTATTTACACTCTGACAGAAGCCAATTGAGTCTATTAATGATATAAATGCATTACTAAGGCTGTCATTGTCAACATCCACATGAATATTAAAATCACCTACAATAATTACTTTATCTGATTTAAGGACTAAACTTGATAGAAACTCTGAAAATTCAGATATAAAATCAGAGTACGGTCCAGGAGCGCGGTACACTATAAAAAATAGAACTGGCGGCAGTGTTTTCCAGTTTGGGTGAGAAAGACTAAGAACAAGGCTTTCAAATGAATTATAATTTAGTTTAGGATTTTTATGTTGAACTCCTCTTGTATTTCTTTC